GTTTCCCCTGCTAGTCCTTCCGCCCCACAAAGTCATTAAGGACCAGCTTCCTCAGGGCCTGGCACAGAGCAGGCACTTAACACACACACATACATCAAAAGAATCGATCTGTCAATTAATAACGCATTCTTCTGTTTTTTCCCCAAGGAAATCTTCCACTGCTAACGTTAAGATGGAAGAAGTTACTTGAACAAGGACAGTGCACAGAGCTATCATCCCCAGCACTCTTCAAATATGTTGGTGGGGATAATCTAAGACCTAAAAACCCTGTAGAAAAGCCAAGACTTCAGCTGAATCTTATTTTCCGGGAAAAATGCTGAATCTCAGATTGGTTACATTCTTTTTTTTTTTTTTGCGGTACGCGGCCCTCTCACTGCTGTGGCCTCTCCCATTGCGGAGCACAGGCTCCGGACGCGCAGGCTCAGTGGCCATGGCTCACGGGCCCAGCCGCTCTGCGGCATGTGGGATCTTCCCGGACCGGGGCACGAACCCGTGTCCCCTGCATCGGCAGGCGGACTCTCAACCACTGCGCCACCAGGGAAGCCCTGGTTACATTCTTGATTTGTGGCTGAGGCAAAGGACAAAGCAGAAGTGGAGAGGGGAGGAGGAGGAGGTAATACAGAAAAAGGATTGATGCTCAAAGGCATAAAATATATGCAGACATCACACTAATGTTCAATATTTTATTTTTAAATATCCCAAATCATTTTAAAATTGTTGGCAAGAAGAATTTATTTCTATTTGGCAATTCTCTCTCTCTCTCTCTCTCTCTCTCTCTCTCTCTCTCACACACACACACACACACACACACACACACACACACACATACACAGACACACACACACCACACATTCCCAAGTTACACATCCTCAGTTCTCCAGGAGACACACACAGACACACACAGACACACACCCCACACATTCCCAAGTTACACATCCTCAGTTCTCCAGGAGGTACAGAACCGCTTTAAAAGCAGCTGGTCGACCGGTAGGGAGTGGAAACTAACAAGAGTTGGCAAAGATTGGAACTCTCATACACTGCTGGTGGAAATGTAAGATGGTACAGTGCAGCCACTCTGGAAAACAGTCTGGAAGTTCCTCAAAAGTTATATACAGTGTTATATATGACCCAGAAATCCCGCTCTCAGGTATATACCCATGAGAGCTGAAATTGTATTTCCACACGAAAAAACTTGTATATGAATGTTTAGAGCAGCAAAACTCATAATAGCTAAAGACTGGCAACAACCCAACTGACCATCAGCAATGAGTGGATAAACAAAATGTGGTATGTCCATACAACGGAATGTATTCAACAATAACAAGAAATGAAGTAGTGATACCTACTACAACTTGAAAAACCTTGAAAAGATTACACTAACTGAAGGGAGGCAGTTACAAAGGACCACATATTATATGATTCCATTTATATGAAATGACCAGAATAGGCAAACTCACAAAAACAGAGACTAGATTAGTGGCTGACTGGGGATGGCAGGGTTGAGGAGAAGTGGCAAGTGGTGGTTAATGGGTAAGGGAGTTGCTTTTGGGGGTGATGAAAATGTTCTAAAATGTATTGTAGTGATGGGGGCACTACTCTGTGAATGTACCAAAAACCAGTGAATTGTACACTTTACACAGGTGAATTATAGGGTATGCGAATTGTACCTCTACAAAGCTGTTAGTAAAAACAAAGCGGGGGGTGGGGGGTGGTATGGGGCAGAGTGTGGGTCTGGGACCTCCAGAAATCACTACATCCTGAGGTTGGACTGCTCCGGACTGCCCCGCCTGTGGTAGGGAGACTGTTAGAATATGAGGCACTGCTCAGGGCCCCCATTCTTTAAAGATTCACACGGCTGACCTCTCACCCATGCCTGCTTTATTTATGAGATTTATGATTAAGGGTGCAGTAAGTAATTCTGAAACCAACCTATTTGGTAACACTTTTAAATACATCAAAATGAGTGACTCATCAGAAGAGACAAAGGAAACTAGTTTATAACAACCGGCTCTGATGAGATGCTTTCCACCAGATAGAGGCAGAATGGTCTGCAAGTTAGGGCCCACACTGGCGTGCTCACAGCAGGCAGATCAGCTTTCAAGAAAAGGAAAAGCCTGAGATATTTGCCCGGGGTGTTGTGTCCAGAAAATACCTGAACTATCTCCTATCCTTCTCGTTGTACTAGGATGTGGGGTATAAAGCACCCATGACTAGGTGCCAGCCTTTTAAAAGAAGCTGTCTTCTTTAATCTTCACACCAACCCTAGCAGAGAGATGGCATTATCCCCATTTTGTAGGTGAGGAAATAAACTCAAATTCCAATAGAAACCATTTCAGAGGAAGTTACCCTAGGTTGCAGCGTGCTCTGACTCCAGAGGCCACGTGGCCTCCCTCTCCTATGCATGGGCACAAGCAGAACTGCTCCGCAACTAGTCAAGAGAACCCAGGGCAGAGGTTCCCAGTGGCTTTGAGCCCACCTCCTTTGTCCCAGGACACCCTTGGCAGTTGGATGGATCCGTGGTCTAAGTCCCTGAAGTCAAGAGTAGACAAAAATCTATCCATCACTCACCAGGACAGATACAAACCTCAAGATAATTTGTTTTCCAATGGTTTTGGCTTAAAGTTCTGGTTTGGCATTGGCTTTTTAGCAACTAACAGCTGTAGGCAATTTTCACACAGAATAAAGACATCAGTAAGGCAGAGAGTGGAATTTTCTCCTTTATGAATACAGAACAATGAGCTGTCTTCAAGATGTACATGGAGCTGCCACCACAAAGGCTCTGGCTTGGGTCTCATTTTGGGAGGCTGACAGAATACAACTGAAAGGACAATGGAGGTGGATGCTTTGAGTGGTACTCGCTCTGCCCACCAGCTCCACTACCACTGAGGAGGCCTTCATCTCTCAGCAATATCTGTCTCCTTAGGTTGACTTTTGGTTTTAAAACACCTTAACTGGGCAATAACACCAAGCACATCAGTGCATCATTACTGCCTTTCTTGATAGCCATCCTGATACATGATTCACTGCCCATCCCTGGGAAAGGACTGTGTCCTCCACCCATCCCAATGACCTCAGACTTGGCCATGTGACTTGTGGTGCCAGTCTCTACAGAAGGATGATATGTCCTTACCCTGCATGATTTGCATTGGCCAAAGAAATGTGGGCTAAAGTGACACGTGTCATGTCCAAGCACAAGCTTAGAGCCTGCTAGCAGTTCACCATGTCTCTCTTTCCTATTCCATCAGGCCTGGGTCTTGGTCTTGAGCAGAATACGGCACAGAGCAGAAGCACAGCTGACTCACACTGGATATGCAGCATCAGCAAGAGGTAAGCCTCTGCTGTTGTAACCACTGAGATTTTGCTATCACAGGATAAACTAGCTGCAGATGACCGAGACCATGAACAATGATCCCCTCCACTTCTCTTCTCACTTTCTATCCCTCCTCACAACTCACCTCCTCCAGAAAGCCTTCCCTGACCACCCTCCTCATCATTGTGTACTACACCCCAAAACACATTTACACAGAGGTGTGTGTGCTTCTTCCTTTGGTGGCATTATACCTCTTGTTATACTACTGAAACTGTCAGCTCTTTGGGAGCAGGTTCTGGTTTTCCGTTTTGAATCTCCTTGCTAGCATCTAGAACAGAGTTCTGCATGCAGTGGGAATGGGAGAGGGTAGAGAGAGATGCCTGAAACACTGAAAATATTCAATGTCATCAAGTGTAAACATGCTGCCAGGAGTCATCTCTTTTCCCCACCGATTTTGGTTGGTAATCAGCCCATTAATCCACTCAGGTGGCCAGAACTCAAACATCAGCTTCATAGTACTCTCTCTTCTTGGCTTATCTCGTAAGAGAAGCTTATAGGTGAATCCTGGTCCATCAAAGCTGGGGTGACAATAAGCTCAGTTATTAGCCCTTGAGGGCAGTGACACAGCCTACGTTACTTTTTTGACCTAAGATTCATGTAAAATGATAGCAGTCTCTAGTATCTGTTGAACAATATAAATGGTCTGATTAGAACTAACTCCATTACAAAATGCCAGTGGTGATCAAGGGAGGATAGAGTCCTCGTGTAACGTCTATTGAACCCCTAAGAAGGGGCAGGCTTTGGGCCATTCCCACTCTGCATTATTCTCATTTAAACATTACATCAAACCTAGGAGAAGGTGTTTTTTTTTTTTTTCTTCCGCCTTCCGGAATGTAGGCTCGGAAAAGTCATATGCTTTTTCCATACTGATACAGATAATAAAGTCAGAGCAGTAATTTGAACCAAGGTCTTCCTAATGCCCGTGCCAGTGCCCTTGACTGTGCCATAATATCCTCCAGAACACAGAATGGAAAGGAACACTACTTCGCAGGTGCTTGAGAAACTCAGTTGAAGAGAGCACCTGCATCTCTTGATGAATGGGTCCTACACTAGACACACCCCTCACTTCAGTAGAGTGGATTCTAAAATATGATAGTATCTATAAAAAGCTTCCCACAACAGTTATTACTGCAGTCCTATCATTAGGCTAAATAATTATACTCTATTTAAGTAATGCCTTTCATCCAAGGATCAAGGACAGGAGGGACAGTATGACTAATTTTTTAAAAGACACTATTACTACACACTGGGAGTGGCGGGAAGCATGGGGTAATCTCAGCAGGTGTGAAGCAGATGAAGGAAATATTTGTGCACACAAGCATCTCATGTTGGGATGGGGAGGAATTAGAAAGGGCAACTTAGGAAGCAGTCGTGCCACATATCTGAAGACCTAAAGGTCTAAATCCCTCCACTTAAAGCACCAGCAAAGCCCTCTGATGTAGTGATGCTACCCCTTTCTTTCTCCTTCTCCACAGGCTCGGTGCTGACAGTTGGGGGTGCAGATCGAAGGGACGGATGGGGGCCATTTCACTGAAGAAAGGCAAGCCTGTGTCTAACCAAACTGTCCACATCCTCTCCCCTCCCTCCTGGATAGCCCCGACTACCCCTGGGATGGAAGTCTGAGACTCACCACAAGTTCACTGAACATGACGTCCAGCTCCTCCACAGGGGGCATGGGTAATGCTGGCTCCATGGTCTGAAGCGCAAAGTTGCTATCATTTCGCAGCCGATACGTGATTTCTGGGTGATCATTATTTCGGAAACAGCAGAAGATGAATGAAATCCCCCGTCCACCTCTCTTCCTCGGGGCCATAGCTGAATTCTGTTCTATTTCTTGACCGATTAAACTCTGCGAAAAGAGGACATGACATGTTAAGAATACAAAAATGGATAAGATTTATATAGTTTTCAAGTCAGACCAATTCAAGAAAGAGCCCAGTGAGCCAGAGGCAATGTCAGTGGAGCCAACATCTGGAGGCAAGGTCTGCAGGGCATAGGGGACAACCTGGGCAGAGAGCACATGCCCGTCTAGGCACTTGTTCAGTGTTTCCTATGACCCGCTGCTGAGCAAGCAGTAACACTCCAGCCACCTCACGCCATGGCATACGCTCCAATCCCATTGGGCTCCGGGCCATTCTCTGCACATCGTGTGCTCTTTCTTGCCAACCCATATTGTTCTTGTTACTCCCCTGCAAGAATGACCTTCTCTTCCTTGCCACCTAGAGGATCTCTTACTTATCCTCTAGGGTTCGATTGCAATTTCTCCTTTACTTTCCCCAAGCAGAATTAATAATATATATGCTAAGACATATCTATCCATTCCAGCTCGTGTCACAGTCAAAGTTCCTTAGGAATGTGTCTTCCTATTAGACTGGCATAACTCAAAGCAGGGGGAAGGGGCTGTGTATCAAGCAACTTGGTGGCCCTAGTGCCCCGCACAGCACCAGGAAGTCAGAAGACACTCAGTTAATGTTTGTTGTGTTGAATAAATTCATAACAAAGGAGGAGTGACTTAACACGAGCTAGATTTTCAAACAGAAAAGATCAAATGAATTCACTGATAGAGAGATGGTTAAATAAATGATAGTATATTCACATAATGGAACATTACACACTCACTAAAGAGAACGAGGCATCTGTGCATGTAGATATGGAAAAATGTTCAAGATACTATGTGATGTGTATACTATATACTACAGGATTACATATTTTAAAGCATTTATGAATATATGTCAGGAAGTGTTATCGGCAGTAACCTCCAAAAAGAGGGGATGGCAGAACTACTCCTTTTCACTTTATACCCTTTTGAATTTGAATTTTTACCATAAAAATACATTTTTAATGACTGCATAGTTGTTTTTTTAAGTTACAACTGCATGTATTGTCTTAGAAAGATTTCTAAGTTACCCTGTCAAGTGAAAAAAGCAACTCAAAGAATAATGTGCATAACATGTGCCATAGTGTCTTCTAAAAACAATCTTATACAAAAACCTAAATAATTTACATGGGACTGCATAGCAAAAGGCCTAGAAAGATACACAGCAATTTCCTAACTCTGAGAGAGGAAGGGGTTGGGGAAAAGGCAAGAAAGGAAACACACATTTTACTGTATATATTTTATGATGAGGGCATATTCCCGTATAACTTCTGTAGATGGTCAGTTTTTTAAAAGAGATGGGGTTGGAAGGAGGAAGCAAGGTGGATTATGAATTAGCCCTTGGTGAGCTGGAAGGGCAGAGGAGGAGAGCCACTTCTGTGCCAGGGAGATGGCAGGAGCAAGGGCGTGAATTCCAGGGAGGAGCCGGGGGGCCAGCGTAGAGAGGAGGGCTGGTGTGGAGAAGCTGCAACCCAGGCTGAGGAGTCTGGGTTTATCCCACAGAAACTGGCAGCCACTCTGAGAAGCCTCCCCTATGCTTCTCTCTTTAAAAAAAAAAAAAAAAAAAAAAAAATTAGAGAAAGCAGATGTGGTTGGGTCTTGACTACTCTTATTCTTTAGAGCTGTGGGCACATGACTTTGATGGAGAAGCTAGAGGGACCGCTGAGCACCACAGAGAGTGCACAACAGATGATCAGACAGTGTATTAATGTCCCTGTCCTGACAAACACGGCACGTGCTGAGACACAGGGCTAACACTACAGCAGGCACTTCCTGAGACAGAAGAGAAGACCTGAGGGGGAGGCAGAGGCCCGCAATTATCCTAGAACTGATTTCTATGGGCGAATCCATAGAAACAGGGTCAGAGCTGTGTCACCCCCCAGGATGAATTTAAAACCAATGGGTAGGGCTTCCCTGGTAGTGCCGTGGTTAAGAATCCGCCTGCCGATGCAGGAGACAGGGGTTCGAGCCCTGGTCCGGGAAGATCCCACATGCCACGGAGCAACTAAGCCCGTGTGTCACGACTACTGAGTCTGCACTCTAGAGCCCGCATGCCACAAATACTGAGGCCACGTGCCACGACTCCTGAAGCTCGCGTGCCTAGAGCCCGTGCTCCGCAACAAGAGAAGCCACTGCAATGAGAAGCCCACGCACCGCAACGAAGAGTAGCCTCCACTCTCTGCAACTACAGAAAGCCCGCACGCAGCAACGAAGACCCAATGCAGCCATAAATTAAATAAATAAATTTATTAAAAAACAAAACAATGGGTAAAGCTGTAAGGAGACATAAGGGAGAATTTTCTAATGTCTATGATTGGGATAGGATGCAGGTGAGGAGTCCCTGGCTCCATTGTCTTCAGACTAAAGTTAGCTGTTAGAAATGCCTAAGGTGTGTAAGGTACCCCAACTCTTAGATGGGAGACGGGAGAGAGATTAGAGATTTTCAGCAAGTGTTGACTTGAGCTTCTCACTCCAGCTTCAATTCCAGCAGCTCTGCTTTTATCCTTTTTTGGATATTGATATATTAGGTATCGATCTTATTTTATAAAAATGTCCTGAGGCTACTCACTGCAATTATAAGAACATGCAAAGGCCACGCAACAGCCTCCAAGGGCATCACAATCTGGCTCCTGCCTGCCTCCCCACCTCTCCCTGTAGCTTTCTTCGTATGGGTCACTGCACTTTAACTACACTGGCCATGCTGGGTCCTGCCTCAGGGCCTTTGCATCAGCCATGTCTTTGACTGGCGTGTTCTGGCCACATCTGTGCACGGCTGGTTCTTTTCATCATTAAGGCCTCAGCACGAATTTCACTTTCTCAGAAAGCCAGCCCCAACCACTGTATCTGCCCCAGTCCTGTTCCATGCTTCAGTCACTCTCTATCCCTTTACCCTGTTTGAAGTTCTTCAGGGCAAGTACCACTATTTCAAATTATCCACTGTGATTATTTCATGGGGGCAGGGGCCCTGCATATATTGCTCATTGCTGTGCCCCCAGCACATGACAGTACATGGGACACATGTACATGGGATACTCACATATTTAACAGCAGACTTTTACATAAAGTCTCATTTAAACAAAGGACTTTACTTCAAAAAAATTTTAGACTATGGGGCATGGGGATGAAAGTCAAGGGGTCTTTAAGCTTTATCTGTACGATTTAAATTTTTAAAGAACAATGTATCCATACATCATTTATGCATTTAAAAATAAAAGTATACACACGGAAGAGAGACTAGAAGCAAGTATGTCAACATTTAACAACGGTTAATTCTGCATAGTGAGGAAATGGATGTCTTCGTTGAACTTTGTTCTTGTTCTTAAGTTTTTTATAAGTAAAATCCAACTTATGGACTTTCAGCATCTCTTCCAAATCAGAGAATCCAATTCCAAAATCTGTCACCAGTTTCTTGATTGTGTAATGATGCAAACTCGGATAAAAATTCTCATAAACAACTATGTTTTGCAAACACTTCTAGAGACAAGCTCTCCACTCACTTTAAGGGATAGTGGCCTCCGAAAGCCAGCAACTGGAAGTCCTGAGTTGGGAAAGGAGAAAAGAGGTTAAGAGCAAGGTATTGGTCATGGAGCCCTCCCTCTGTGATGACCTAACTGACTCTGGGATAAAGACTTAGCCAAGATACCAATATCCCATTCTGTTGAAGCATACATCTCCTGACCTAGGGAGTACTTATGCAAGGTCATATGAGACATATGCAGTACCTGGGATTCCTTTGGTAAATGTGTATTAAGATCTACTATATGCCAGGCGTGATAGTAGATACCTAAGGATACAGAAAGGAGTGGGTCACTAGGAGCTTATAATCTGGGGGGAGAGAGTAGTGCACCAAATAATTATTACAAAAGTAATATGACATGTTATACAGTTAAGTGCTATGTAATCAAGCAGGAACTATGTAGGGAAGAATCTGGTCCCTGATGCTTGTGTGGAATTTTGACAGATGTTAGAAAGCAGGGCACTTAGGCAGAGGGACCAGTGCAAACAAAGGCATGAGCTGGGAAGGGGCATGGAGTACACGGGGAGTGAGGGGTGGTACGGTACAGGTGGTGCTGTATAACATCTTCCCGTAGCTGAGCCCTGGAGGGTCTCATCTCCCTACTTAAAACCTACCAGTGGTTCCCCAACACCATTCTAAATTGGCTTTCAGTGCGCTATCAAATCCAATTCCAACTCACTGTTTCTGTCTTTTCTATTTCCTTAAAAGTATCCTACACTTAGCCAACAGACCGTTTTCCACGCCCCATAAATATCTTGCACTCCCATCATCTTCCATCCAGGTGGTCCACTCATTTCTTCTGCCTTTATCTTTGTCAACAGTGTGCCCACCCTGACAGTACCAATCCTGAGAGTACTCAATGCAGTAAGCCTCATCTGCTGGTGGTAGATGAAATTTGGTTCAACATTTCTGAAGGGCAATTTATTAAGGCCTTAAAATAGTCACAATTTTGACCTAGAATTTCAACTTCTGGGAATATATTCCACGGATATATTCAGAGACACTATCAAAGGTGTTTTCATAAAAATTTTCAAAGCTATAAGAGCTTTGAAACAAGGGGATGCAAGAACAAAGCTATAAAAGCAAATAAACAAGGGCATAAAATAGGTGTTAGTAATAGAGAACTATATGAAAAGGGTAAATAAATTATGGTACAACTAGATGATAGACCACCATGCAATCCTTTGAAAAAGAATATTTAATACAAGGATATGTCGTACAGCACAGGGAATATAGCTAGTATTTTATAAAAACTATAAATGGAATATAATCTGCAAAAAATTTTGAATCACTGTTATACACCTGAAACTAATATAATATGGTAAATCAACTATAACTTAATAAAAAAAATTAAAAAGAATATTTAATGACATGCAAATACGATATATGAAATAAAAAATAGGTACACAATGTCCCATTTATGTATGAAAAAAATGTATATATTGATACATGGGCA